GTTCATTTTATGAATTGGACGAGAGAATACAGTCGCAAATGTATAGCGTATAACTGGAAGAATTTGATAGAATAGAGCACCACATGGAAGAAGAAGGTCTAGCTCGTAGCATCGACAAATCAAATGTTTAAAATCTAAAAGGACGAGCTTCCTATTTAGTCATTAAAGTTTAAATCTTAAACTTGTAACAAGAAAATAATTTCGTGAGAACGAGATAACATGACCCTAAGGAGCTGCAGTGCAAGGCTCTAAGTGGGCCGCTTTATGACTCTATAGACCATGGACGTAATTAACAGTGGCAGCAGAAAAGGCCCATATTACACGGGCCATTGCCCATGGGTAATTGCCCTGTGATGTCTCCGAGTTTACAGGGCGAGCTGAGTATTCAACTCCATAAAGGCAAAAACTGAACCAACGTCTCAAAATATAGTCATTAACTATATTGGAAAAGTTAATTAAATTAAATCGACATATAAAAACACAGTACTAAAATTTGGCTTGTACCATGTGAAGACAAATGACAACCGAAAAATATTGTAAGTGGCAGTATTAAAACGCGACAAATCACAAGTGCAAAGAGAGTTGTAATAAAATCAATTTTTTATCTATTGAAATATACTTTTTATTATATTAAAAACTCGAGTAAATTTAAACAGTACAATTTTGTATAGGAAATATTGATATATGCTCAATACCGTGTTCAAAATAAAGTATCATAATGAGGTGCTCTAAACCCTTTTTATTCAAGAAATCATGAAAAAAATAAAATCATATGACAATCAAAATACAATATCAACTGTCATAGTCTTGCTCAATAAAATGAAGAGAGAGAGAGAGAGAGAGAGAGAGAGGATATTGCCGTCTGGCATAAAAGCTAAAGGCAAGCTACCTTTTGAAAGCTGGAGCAGTTCCTTTTCTGCGATATCTAAAGCTTCAACGCCACGATTGTATCTTTGCACTTTCAAAACTCTATTGCATCAAACTATTTAAAAACACGAGACTGGAGGAGTTATGTCCTTCTTTTTTTTTTTGAACTTTATTTGTGTTTTGAAGAGCGCTTAGATAACAAAGGAATAATATTACTAGGGTTGATAGTTCGTATCATTACACCATTAAGACTGAAAATGAGGAATTGTTCACAATATATACACACGAGACTCAAAATCAAATAAAATTGCGATGATCAACACACAAAATTAAAGCTGTTCGGCCTAGCTTTTAACTCTTGAACTAGCCGAGCTAAGCACTCAATTTTGCAGGCTAATTAGGAAATCAGGCACACCTGAACATGGAGTTCTCATCCTATCCAGCACAGCCCATTAATGCTTTATACAAAACCTGTTAACAAGAGTGCGTAAGTTGCTCCTTGATATTGATCCCTAACTTCCGCAGGAGATCTTTAATTAGGGCAAACAATTTCGGATCTTCTTGATCACGATTCGAGGAAGGAGTCTAAAAGAAAAAGGAAATTAAATCTACAACTAATCATACGCCTTTTTTCAAATGTGTAACTGTTAAAAACTGGGGACATGTCCCCTCATTCACGGAGTCGAATTCGCCCCCTCTTTTTCTTGACAATGATGTGTGGGGCATTTGTGCATAGAGTACCAAGGGACAGCTTTTCGATAACATCATGAAAGAAATGCGTGGTCTCTGTATTTTTACAACAAAATCTCAGGAGTCTTTTGAAGACGAGATTGTTACCCTTTTAGAAAACTTGAACATCAGCCATTAGCTAGGCCAAGTACTAGGGCCCCAGACGGTTTCATTTCACATCCTAATGAATTCATTACATTACATATGCTTTTAAGTGAAGATTATGTTTCTCCTATTCCTGTACACACATCATTCTCATCAGTTATCGAGTGTCGAAATTATCATGAATCGAGTCAATTGCGCCGTTTCGCCCGTGACAAAATGTATTTTCAAATGATCTGGTTAACATCCTGATTCCCCACCCCCATCCTTTCAAAGCTAGCGTTTAACTTACACAGAAATGAAACTGTTCTCTCAATAATTAGTTCATGTGTTCGCAGGAAAATAAAAGTCAAATCAAAACCTTGCCTACAGGCGTAAAATCTCTTGATAGTTCACAACCAGGAAATTATTTCATCATGGAAACCCCTTTACCCATTGAATTAGATTCCACCACCATGTTTATCAAAGTCTTTATTTGCTTATAACAAGAAAGAAATGCATTTTACGAAGATTTTGGAACAATTTTAACATATTTCTGAAGCATTCAATCGATCATGGCCAAATCTCTAAGCATGGAAAAGCCATTTATTTGGTTTTCAAAATAAGATGCTACAGAAGTAAAGTGGTTGGCTAGAATCCACATCTATCAATGTATATTTAATTGTAAAATCAACTATGCTAAACTAAAAATCACTTTTTTTGCTTCCTTGTCCCACCATCCGGCCGGTTACTCCTAACATCCCTTGCAATAATGTATGCACGTCTTGAAACGAAACCTTACAGCTCTAGAAATGAATAAGATCCTTGCTAATTAGCTAGCAAGGTAGAATAAGTTGAAAAATATAGATCAGAAATTAACATCTGTGCATTTATATAAATCGCGTGTCAAGCCCTTTTGCTTGCTTCACCTGAACCACGCTGTATGTTTCAAAATCTAGAGGAGCCATACTAGTGTTGTATGAAGCATAATTAATGAAATAAGCCTTGTCACCCATGCAGCACAGTGCTAGAAAATATGAAATTTGCCAGAGAAGAACTTTCACAGTATGAATTCAAGAATTTGTTCTCCTTTCCTTCCTTGACTGGTCAGGGTAAACAATAAGTTGCAAATTTGCTTTAGTTCATAGCTCCCAAAGTCACTGCTTTTGACCATCTCTTGCTCAAAGCAGGAACTGAAGATATCAGGCATGTCGCAATGGAGTATGGGACCCGCCCACCTTCACAAAAGGCACAGGAAAAGTGCACGCTGCACACTTATTGACGGATGGGCTGGTAAAAGGTTCCCAACTGCCTAACCACCAACCCATGAAGCTAACCTCCTGTAGAAACGCTGGTCGGCTAAACCGATTAATCCCCCATTAACGCCAACTACTGTGACTAAATAAACATAGCAGCACACGAGATTAATACGTAGTGGTTTCGTGGACCCAAACCCAAAGCCTCTTGATTCCTTAAATATGATTGCCTATTCTAGTCTTTGAAAATGGAAAAGAAAAAACTTCTTTGTTGTTGGGACCAATGATTCCGCCATGGTTGAGCGGTGGAAAATATAACATAGCGAAACCACCCGAACCAGGAACACCGGTGAGTAAAAACAGAAACTTCTGGTACGACTAGTATTGCTCCGGACAGAATACGTAATTCTTCTCCTCGATTGCAAGTGGCTCCGATCTTTCCAGGATAAGCTATTTACTTGTTATACAAGTAGCTTCTAAGTGGAGAAGAGCAATAAGGTGCACTTCATTAATCATGTTCCACTCAGCGGCCGCAATCCTTGAGCTAATGGAAAATAATGTGCCCTGCCCACCACACTAATGCTTGCCCACTGCACGCGCGATTCCTTGCCTTCGTAGATTACATTAAGAATCGCCTCTACAAGATGGACCTCCTACTTTGACTTAATTTACCAAAACAGAACTGATCTGTGAATGCAAGGCAAATTTATCTGGCCCAGTTTCCGGATTTTACATCACATTCACACACGCAGTTCAACGCTTTGTGGTCATCTATTATCAGGTATATGCAGGCACCCTTCAATAAACCAAACTTGCAGCAATAATCTTGTTGATGGCGTAGAATACCAATAAAAACCACAAAAGAGGGAAAAAGGAAAAAAAGATTTTTAGAGTTAAAAATAGAAGAAAAGGAAACATGGGTACGACTGGCTCATTGATTATCCATTAACCAAGGGTGAGTATGGTCCATGCATATTTTTTGTGTCCAAGTTACAGTACAGGGTTTTGCCGCGCACAGTTCATTTAATTATAGGAGAAAAAATTATATAGCTAAGTAATGGTAGTATTTGCTTCTTCTTTTTGTGTCAAGTCATATTTTTTTTTTATTAATATGTATGTATGAGTTAATTTATGCACATCTTAATTAATTTTAAAAACTCTAAAATTAAAAATAATATAGATCTTTAGTGCCTTTAAAGAATGTAATTTCTTTTAGTATAACACTAGTTAATTGACCATGCTCTCACTACAGTTTCAATAAAAATAAATAAATAATATAGACTACAGTTTCAATAAAAATAAATAAATAATATAGACTGTTAAGAAAATTTCAATATTATTTTAAATTTGATATAAAAGTTCAAATTTAAAAAAATTAAACTTAATTATTTTGTTAACCCAAATTTTAAATTGACTAATATAGGTGTTGACTTGAAGTGATTTTGTGCACTTAATTAATATAAAAAAAATTAAATAAAAATCAAGTCATGTTCACCCTAATCAATAAACAAAACTTGTTATCCAGTTTATAATCTTAAAGAGTTAAATTAAATTAATTTATTTTATTATATAATAAAAAATATAAAAAATATTTATAATTAATCAATACTAAATAATAAAATTAATTAAAAGCATAACATTACCAGTTCAGCTAAAATATAAAGTTAATATAAATTAATTAAAATAAGATATTAATCTAATTTACTATTTTTATAAACAAATAAACCCACTTTTCAAAATAAAACCAATTAAACCCACACTATATATATATATATATATATATATATAGATAGATATTGTTTTAGTAATATCACAACATAAAAAACTAATAAAAGTAATCGAACCTCTGAATTTTTAAGGATACTTATATAGTTTTTTAATATCTTTAGGACGAACCCATTTACGACAATACCATCGCCACCCAATTATTATATTCTTATCACAGGGAACCGGGAAGAGATGTGTATTAAACAAACACTGGCAATTGTGTGATTATTTGAAAGGATAGGGTCCCTATGGACACGCACGTAATTCCAGCACTGCACTCGAGCCTATTTAAACATCCAAAAACACAAATCAACACAGGCACACTTCCCTCTAGCCCGCACGCACTCATCCCTAGAAAAAACAAACCAAACACTCTGCCCTCAGGCCTCGAAGAGAAGAAACTAAAAAAATGCCAGCGCAAATGCAACGCCCTCTGCTTCTCCTCCCTTTCTTCCTAACAACCCTCCTTCTCTGCTGTCAACCAATCTCAACCGTCGCTTCACCGGACCCTACCTTATCTCCATCCAACGGCACAGATTACATCCGCTCAGGCTGCGGCGCAACATTATACCCCGAAATCTGCTACGCCTCCCTCTCTCGCTACGCCAGCGCCATCCAAAATAGCCCCGGTCGCCTAGCTCGCGTGGCCATCAAGGTCAGCCTCTTAAGAACAAGTCACATGGCAGCCTACGTCTCCAACCTATCCCGCCAATCAGACTTCGGAGCCGACAACCGCGCCGCCGCTGCCCTTCACGACTGCTTCTCAAACTTGGGAGACGCCGTTGATGAGATACGCGGGTCGCTTAAGCAGATGCGGCAGGTTGGAGCAGCGGGGCCGTCGACAGAATCGTTTCAGTTTCAGATGGGTAACGTGCAGACATGGATGAGTGCGGCTTTGACAGATGACGAAACGTGTACGGATGGATTCGAGGATGTGGGGGATGGGGAGGTGAAAACTGAGGTATGTAACCGTGCGGCGATTGTCAAGAAACTTACAAGCAATGCTCTTGCTCTTGTTAACAGCTATGCTGCCACAGGAACGCCGTGATAAACAACATGTATTTTTTTTTTTGAAGTAACTTTTTATTTGGATAGAGTGAGTGAGTGTGTGAAATACATGGTAGGAAAGGAGGGAGGAGCTTTATGGTTTCTTGAATCTTGACTGGGAGGAGACTGTTTGTTGTGTATATGTGGATTAATTTGCAATTAGTTTTGTTATCAGTAATTTAATTGTGTATTGTAGTGCATATATACAAGCCATTCAAATATGCCTTCATGTTAAAATCACTCGCACTGCAACAGGAAATCGAAGTACTGTATTATCGAGTCAAAAATTACGAGTGAGTATACTAGGAAGTCAGATCTGAAAGGCCAAAGACAGGCATCATAGTAAAAAATTACGAGAATCATTTTATAAAATCATAACTAAGTTTTTGTTACTAATAAAGCTGTTTTATTATGAGAAGATATCAAAAATAAATTTTTTAATGAAAAATATTATTTTAATATTTATTTTAGAAAGTTTTTTTTTTAAAAAAAAAGATGCCCAAGTTTACATAAACCAAACCAAGTGTGCCGAAATTCAGTCATAATTTAATCAGCCATTTATGGAGTTGTCCTAGCTACCCTCTCAATTAAGATGTTTAATGTATAAATATCCTTGGAAATTGCAGGAATTGGCGAGAATGGCTTCCTTTTTTAAAAATAAAAATAAAACTCATGGAGTTCGCGCATGGTAATCGTTAAGGTTTATGTCCTTGTGATTTGTGATTGACTGAAGCATCAAACTAAATAAATTTAAGAGGGCTTAAACACTGGCTCCAGGTTATTTATTTATTTATTTATTATAATGATATGATTAGTCATGATTAAGATGGATGCAATATCCACCAACCAATTAGCAGGGGTACTAAAGGGCTCCTGTGAGCAAGATTTAGTGGGATATGAAAGTGATCCGCATATGCGTTCACATTTTATTCCATAATGATGTTTCTTAAGCATAGTACTTGAGACAGATTAACAAGGAAAGATATGCACTGGCGATACGAACGAGAACTGGATAGACATCCGGCGATATGTTGCGTGCTGAGTTATTTTTTTATTAATAGAAAAATATTTATGTGATTTATGTTGCGTGATGAGTTAATTTCTTATTAATAAAAAAAATTATTTATGTGAGATATGTTGCGTGATGAGTTAATTTAATAATTAAAGAGATTTCATATATTGTCTGAGTAATTATTCACAAAGTAAAAAAAAATAAAACATCATAAAATTAACATCTCATATTTATTCCCACACAATCAATTTAATTTAATTAAAAAATATATTTTTAAAAATATTAAATTCAACTTTTTCTGAAAAACACTAGTTAATCTCTTAAGCTCATTAAATTATAGGCTTTAGTTTAGTTAAAATGCTTAACAATTGTCGAATTAAATATAAAAGATAAAATTTATAAATTTAATTTAATTAAAAATAAAATTCTTTAAAAAATACTAAATTTAACGAAGACTAAAAAGATTCCAGCCAATTTTTGTTATTAAAGTTTTTTTAAAAAAATAAATAAAAAAAAATTAAATTCTTGATCTAGCTGAATATTTAAATAATTAAATATTAAAAGATAAAATAAATTATTTTAAAAATAAAACTCTTTTAAAAAGACTAAATTTGAAACACTTGGAGAACCCAAAATTAAAAAATCCTTTAAAATAATAAAACTTGATTCCACAATTAATCCAAGTTTGAAAACCCCAAAATCATTAAATTAAAAAACGACTAATACAACTGAAGAGATAAAAAAACGACAAAAAAAAACCATCGACAGCGAACAAAAGCAGCATAACAGCTTAAGACAAGCAATTAGATCCCTTTCACTTATGAAACCTAAAAAATAATTTCTTCTGAGAACCCATAAAAATGAACAATAGATCTGAGAAGTACCATGAAATTATGAGAGAATTCTGACAGTGGTCGAGATGAACAGGGAAGCGAGTGATTGATAAGAGAGAACAATGGTGACCGAGGGAGAAGAAGAAAGAAGCTGGAGATATAACGGATTCAGAATTATGTGGGCAGTGCTTTCGGGCTTTTTTGATAATTCAGACGCATTCTTGTCATGCCATTTGCGCCACCCTTTAAATTCCTCCAACCACTTAGCACTTCATTCTTTTTTTAATCCATAAACTGACTCGTTAAATTTTGAATTATACAACTTCTCTCCAAGATTAGGCCCGCTCAGGATTTCAAATCAAGATTTTTCCTGAGACCACAGTCACTGGTTCTCCTCTCAACGAGTGACGTTTTGTATCTTGAAATTATGTAGGAAGCTACCCAATTTATGATCAGCTGGTGCAGAATATGTAAAGCAAGTTTAATTGACTGGATTTTTAGACCTTTTAGTGTGGATGTGAGGAGACAGCATAATGAACGTATTAGGTGTTTCTCAAGGAAGGAAAAAACAGAGATTTGCAGTCCATATAGGCCAAGTAAAAAACAATCAGGAAGACACACCCTCGACAATTTCGGCAGCTAATAAAAATTAGTTCGATCACCTGAGAAACCGGAACACCTAGTCCACATGTAAAAGCATTGTCTTTTTCTTTGTTTTTTTTTTCCGACGGCAACCGAAGGATGCTGGTGGGTTTGACATGCATGGCTCAAGTTTAAGAAATCACGAAGCATTCAAAATGAGGCAAGAATCAAGAAACATCAAACCAGGCCTGGCGTGCATGTGAATGGTCCCTCACAGAGGCCTCCCAGAACATGATTAGAATAGGCAAATGAATAGAGCGATCGGAGAAAGATAATAATGTTGCATCAATCTCTAGGCCTCGGCCTGTACTGGTGTTGGGTTTTGGATTTATGCTAGGGCACGTGATCAGCCCGTGAAATGAAAAGATCACAAGGGAGTATAAGGACAAAATAGGAAGGAGCACCATCGCTAACAGGTCTTCTGATCACGGCCCCTTTCAGGTTTCACGAGATGCAATCTCATTTGCTTGGGGTTAAAAACTGTTTTTCATTATATTATACAATAGCATCCACTTAAACGTTCTTAATTATTTGCCATAGCATCCTTCTATGCAAGAATAAAGGTGTTATTTATTAAATTGTTTGGGGTAAATTAAAGTGTAAGAAACTAGAGAGTAAAACATGGAGCAATTTCATTACTAGCTAAAAAAGTTTATTTCAAAAATTATTTTTATTTTCCTTCTTTCTCTTTTTATCTTTCATAGTATCTATAATTTCTAAAAATTCATTGGATTCATGTAAAGAAAAAAATCTTGTTTGGTATCAATTTTGACATCAGTAAGTTACATTCAATAAAATAAATTTAATAATAGTTATTTTGAACTTTAATATTATCTTAAACAACAAGGCAATAAATAATTTTTTTATCAATTTAATTTTGTGTTTCAGAATTGTTTTTTAGCTTAATAAATTATTTTTTTCTTTAATGTTATAAGAGTATTATTTATATGTTTTCATGAAAAATAAGTAAAAAAATTAATTTTTAATAAAAAATAGTGCATAATTTTTCTAGGTTGTTTTTTTTAAAAAAAAAAACTGGCAAGTACAAAAATAAAAAAAGTTGAATGAAAAACCCATTAAAAATAGTTTTGAAACCAAAATATTTTTAAATAATAATAATAAAAAACTTTCACATGATTTGCCATCAATAAAAAGTAGAATAAGTATTTCTATTAAGGATTGATTAGCTAATATCATAGCAATCAGACCTTATAAATAAAAAGTTTATTTAAAATTAAAATATAAATTAATTGAGATATATATAAATTAAACCGAATATTTACATTAATAATATTCAATAAAAAACAAAGTATCATGTGCCTTGATAAAAAGCATTTGATAATAATAACATGTGATTTCCTATTACCAATTTTCATGTACAGATTTTTCTGTTTTGGACTTAAAAATGTATTATGCTTTTAATCTGGCCTCTCAAACTCAAAAATTAAAAAAATAGCAATATTTTTTAATCTTTTCTCCTTTCATGATAAAATAGTTTTTTTCTCTTGCCAATGCTAACAAGATGAAATAAGAAAATAGCCATCATTAATGTTTTTGTATTAATGCATCAATTTTGACATGAAAGCCTGTTTAAGATCCGATGAATAGAAAATAACATGATCTGGAGGCATAGAAGCTGAGATGATCATTGATTTTACACTGTGCATGCAATGCCAGGGTTCACGAGGAGTGCTCGAGGCAGTGAGACCAATTACCCACCGTGTAAATAATTCGGGGCTGCAAATCGGTGCTGCCATGTTGGGCATCCTTCTACATCAGATGATTTCCGAGCCTGTATAGTTGTAAATATTTTATAAAATATTTTTTATTTCAAAATTATTTTTTTTATTTTTTAAAAATTGTTTTTAACATAACTGTAACTACACAAGTTCGATGCTGTTTCAGCTAGCTGGGGACAACCGATTTTACTTTAACTCCAAACCCAAGTAGAGAAGGCCTGTTCTAATTCTCAAACCCAAGTAGATTAGGATCCCAATCTACTTGGGCTCGGAAATGGTCCTAATCTACTTGGGTTTGGAGATCGGAACAGGTTATATACCCAGTTAGCTAGGAAATCGGAGAGAATTAAGTTAAAAAACTTGACACTCTCGAGCCCTAGTTACGGAGTCTGCCTTAATTAATTCACAAGTATCTTAATTTATAAAATGAAGGATTTTGAAAAAAAAAAATTTAAAATTAATTGAACCAATTTATGGCATGGAGAGATCGAAAAAATAATAATTCGAGATTAGTGAGATATGAAGGATATATTTGTCAACTCAGGAAAATCGACCGTGTAAAATATGCTCTTAAAATCATTAAATCCAATAAAACTAAACATTACTCAAATAACTTGTTTTAACAAAGGGAACACTCAAAATTAACTACAAATCGTTTCTTCAGTCTAATTCCCAACATGAAACAAGTCGATCCAAACACTCCCTTGTACTCTCAACTTGATGCTGGTTTGGTAATATCCCACGGTGCGTGGGAATCTCGAAGCATGTTTTTGCTATTAGTAGAAAGGCATTTAAGGCTTGCAGCATTACACGTGTACATACGGGTTGGTGTGTGTACCAGGCTCCTGCCAGATGTCTGTTCCCATCAGAACACGTGGCTCCACAGTAACATGGATCACAAGTTCCCAACTTTTCTGTACCTAAACAAAGAGCAAAATACCATCGTAATCAATGTCCATAACATTCACGAGTCATTTCGTGTGCACCTGGAAAACTAAATCCATGCGTTTATATATATATATATATATATATATATATATATATTTTCGATAAATTTTGGAAAGCTTCCCTCCCACAAGATCACTTCCAATTTATTTACGATGAAAAAGACCTCATTTCATAATATTAGAAAGTGTGTATATATATATGCCAATAAATTTGTGTCAAAGAATTGCTTGTCCCTTGTATTAGTCTTTCATGCATAATCTAATGTTATCTTCACCACTTTCCTCTGGAGGAGGTAAAGAAATGGAAAAGGAAAGATGTTGCAATCCAATGTGGTGATCGAGCCTGCTCAATTAAAATCCCAAGTGGCATTCAAGAACAACCATAGACTTTTAATTTTTAGCCACCAGCTCTAAAAGATTCTTTCTTTTCACGCAAGCATCATGCATGGCCGGAAACCTTTAAGTCGTTCAAATATCTTGCACACGCAAACCCCCGGTTTTAACTGTAAATTAATTAATTATGTCACTGTTGAGATTTTCTAAGCTTATAGACTTTTATTTAATTAGCTTAGTTTTTTTAATTAAGTGCAATGTTTTCTTTAATTGTTAGGATTCAATTTCTAGAACTAGTGATTTTTTAAAAAAAAATTATTAGGTAGATAGTAATAATTTAAGGATTTTATTTTATTTTATTCGGTTTCCTTCAATAGTACTTGGGTTTTTTCCTTCTTATATGAAATGATACAATTAAGTTGTTTATATTGTTTAAGGGTTTTGACGTGGCGTCAATCTTGAGTCCCACCACCCACAGCCACGAATTGTAATCACGGCACCAATTACTTTAAGTTAATTTGTGGCCTATAAATACAACGGCTCTTTGCATTTCTTTGATCCTTCAAACTAAAAATAAATAAATCAATCTTGTCCGAACTCGGGTCTCAATGGATAAGCAGCAGCTTGTTCTTGGCTTTTTCAATGCGTATTTTCTATTTTATTCACTTGCCCTTGTGCACGGTGACAGGGTCACTTCCTGTGACCAGACACCATTTCCTGAAGCATGCAACTATTTTATCGACACCAATATCTCTAAAACCCCACCGTTATTTGCATTACGCGACCAATCCTTGTTGATAACTATGAACAAAGCCATAGAAGCTCACCAGATGGTGTCATCTATGGAGTTGAGTTCATTTAATCAACAGGCCAAGTTGGCATGGGATGATTGTTTAAAGCTATACGAGGATACGGTCGATCATGTTAACCGTTCAATGAGCTCTAACAATCTAGCTGACTCTCAAACTTGGCTAAGTGCAGCCATTGCCAACCAAAGAACATGCGAGAATGGCTTTATTGACTTTAACATTGTCTCTTATTTAGAATTCCTTCCAAATATGCTACGCAACTTCACCAAATTGCTTAGCAATACACTTTCCCTAAACAAGGCCATAATCTCCTCACCACCTATACTACTTGATACCAAACAAGATGGTGGCCGCCGAAGATTGCTTGTTGATGGATTCCCATCATGGGTTCCGGCTAGTGATCGAAAGCTTCTCCAATCAAATGGCCGGGCTGCACCAATGGCTGATATTGTAGTTGCCCAAGATGGGTCTGGTGATTACAAGACCATATCCGAGGCACTGGCTGCATCTGCTAAGCTTAGGAGGGGGACTAGGAGTAAGAGATTTGTTATATACGTGAAAAGGGGTGTTTACAAAGAGAACGTTGAGATTAAGAAGTCGATGAAGAATTTAATGTTCGTTGGAGATGGAATTGATGCTACAGTCATTACTAGTAATAAAAATACCCAAGATGGCACCACAACTTTTCGCTCCGCAACTGTTGGTGAGTTTTCTTTACTTACACCATCAATTATTAGAAACCAATCAAATTATAATCATTTAGAATTGAAACAACTTTCATACAAATTAAATTGTATGTGCTCTTCAGTTTTGATAAACACCGGATCCTCTATGCTATATATGTATGAACGTACGCGTGCATGTGTAGATTTTGATTATTTATAATATTCTTTGATTCACATAGTACTAGATCTTGTAAAGTATTTTATTTTAAACGTTATATTGACGAAATTAGAGCTCAAAGCGCGCATCTAAATCTAATAGGTCAACAATCCAAAGATCGAGGAAACAAATTCACTTTTGCAATTGACCTCTCATGTATATATTATCACACCATTGGAAAGAAAACTTGTTATTGGGGATAATTAATGTATCCACCATAAATTATAATTAACTATATTTTTATTGCATGGCTAGACAAAGCACAACGTTGAAAAAAGTAGAGAAGAGAAACTTATGATGATGTTTATTGCTCACGTTGATTTTCATGACTCCCAGGTGTTTCTGGTAAAGGCTTCATTGCCAGAGACATGACATTTGAAAACACTGCCGGACCACAAAAACACCAAGCAGTAGCCCTGCGATCTGGTTCCGATTTCTCAGTTTTCTATAGCTGTAGCTTCAAGGGCTACCAAGACACCTTATACGTGCACTCTCAGCGACAATTCTACCGGGATTGTGACATATATGGAACTGTAGACTTCATTTTCGGTGATGCTGTTGCTGTTTTGCAGAACTGCAACATATATGTTAGGAGACCGATGAGTAAGCAAGAGAACACTGTCACGGCACAAGGAAGAACTGACCCTGGTGAGAACACAGGAATAGTAATTCATAATTCAAGGGTTATGGCAGCTTCAGACTTGAGACCAGTGCAGGGTTTATTTAAGAGTTATTTGGGAAGGCCATGGAAGAAATATTCAAGGACTGTGTTCTTAAAGAGTAATATAGATGGACTGATTGACCCTGCAGGTTGGTTACCATGGAAGGGTGATTTTGCTTTGAGTACTCTATATTATGGTGAGTATATGAGTACTGGGAGCGGAGCAAGCACCAAAGGGAGGGTTAAGTGGCCTGGATATCACACAATCACAAGCCCACTAGAGGCTGGAAAGTTCACTGTTGAGAACTTTTTGGCCGGGAATTCTTGGATTTCGGCTGCCGGAGTGCCCTTTGAGGCTGGTTTATAAGAGAGGAAATTTGTCAATTGTGATTGAATAGTGACCTTAAGCTGGGGCAATTTCCACGTATAGCTAGCTATCTAGTGCTATAGTTTATGTGATGGTTTTTCCTTTATATTTATGGATATGTGATATCACAGGACACGATATATATATATATATATATATATATATATATATATATATTCAAGACGATTAAGCCTTGATACCGTTCTATTTCCTGTCATTATTTAGCGAGTCCTCTTCTGTAATTGAATCTTTAACTGAATATTAATACTGATGCACGAATTAATTAGTTTTTATATATCATATCGGGGGATCGATGTTAGGTTTCAAGAGTTATATGCAAGCCATAAAGTTGATTTTATCTCAAAAAAACTTAAATGAGACATTCATTCTAGATTTTATATGCCAGCCTCTTTTATTAATTTATATATTCATTGAGCTTAGCTCTCTAATATGCTCTCGTTTAATTATTCGAAGTGATAATAATTTCTCTTTTGTAATGATTAATTTAGAAGAATACTTTTAAGAATTAAATTAAACAAGCATGTCTGTAATATATATATATATATAAAAACGTATCTCCCAACGTTTTGCGCTCCTTATTATCCAATTTAATTGATACTGTTTTCCTATAAAGTTAGGTAATAATTAAAATCTGAATTCTTTCACGAAGTCTCTCTTTGATTTAAACACATAGTAGTTAAGAGTGAGGACCAAACAAACTCTAAACTAACTATGGGTGGGGTGATTCTCGAACATCAAAACAAGGCTCTCGAATACTTAGATACATTCAGATATACATAACGTACGTCACTGCAAAGCCCCTACTAATCTTCATAAAATATTGTACATGTGATTACATACTGCATAGTAATTCTCGATCTAACCTATATGAAATGTATCAATCAGGTAAATAAACTTTCTAGTACAAAATAGTTCATATGAATACAACCAACTTAATTTGTCATAATCAATTATTGTAACTGAAAAATATTTTGAGTATATCCATCGATGTGGCTAGACTTTCAAGACTAGCCGATGCATGATCATGGAAGCACCAACATATTTGTTCTTCAAAAAGTTTAGCATGCTACATGTCCATTGAGATCGGAATCGGATCTCTTAGTTGAATATCGACTTCTTTTATTTTAATGGATGGATTAAATAGTATTGAGAGAGCTAGGGACTAATAATAATAATAATAATAATAATAATAATAATTCTCATCCTTATCTGTATTATATAGAAGCCCAAGCAAGCAAAGTCACATGAAAAACCCTGGTATTAAAAGCAAAGCGAATCGGGGGTTATAAAATTCCGTCAGCCAAACTCAACTTGGATGTATCATACATAGCTGTACCAATGGCATTAATAACGAACTACGTCAACAGTAGATATATAAACGTTACAGAATTATATGTTAATTGAAATTGTGTGGTAGCAAAATTATAATTTGTGAGCTTATAAGAGTAAACCTGTAGCCACACACACACACGTACAGAGAGGAGGAGACACACACATGTATAGAGGGGGGGGAGGGGCAACGTCATCTTTCCGGTGATTTCGGTTTAAAATATTTTTTTATTTAAAAATATCTCAAGATATATATATATATTATTTTTTATATATTACTAGCATATTAAAATAATTCAAAAACATTAAAAAATATATTTTAAATAAAATAAAATATTTTTTTAATAAACACAGGTTAAACCAAATTTCTAAACATATTTGATGTACATAACCACAAGCTAGCAACAAAAATAATAATTAATAAGTTTGTATTATCACTATTGTTTAAATGTTTTTTCGAGCTTGGTTCAAATCAGAACGCAACACAATCTCGTACCCGTGTTGAAAACCGCAAGTCAAGACATCAACAGGCATCTTTCATGCTTACAAGCTCCAAAACAGCAGGGCAGCACATCAATGACAGCCAGTTTCCGCACTTATCCCCATACTACATGTAAAGATAACATGAGAGGAGTTGGCTTATTTATTTTGAACGTCAAAACTTTGCCTTCGCTAAGGCAGAAAAAGTTAAGGCATATTCGGTATACATAACTGGGTTTCTTGTAAGTTTAATCATATAAAAGCACGGCTTATGAAGCACTTTCCATGTTCAAGGCGAACAGTCCCCACCGCTGCGCATAGCAGTGAAAATCTATGTAATGACAGTTGGTGCAGATCGGCCAGTGAATTCCTGCATCTTAGAAAGACCAAGAGCAACTGCCACCTGCATAGAGGCCCATAAAAATCAGCCTCAATAACCGATGAGACGGGTGATGGACAATAAACAACAAGTGAGATATGGGATAATACAAGAGGAGCAAGTGCATCTTGAGAATCTCTTCCAGTTTTTGATGGATCTTTTTCGTATTGCTCAATGTAGAGCCTGATGGTTGCACCTTCTGAACCAGTTCCTGAGAGGCGGAAAACCTGCACCAATGTTCATGGAGAGGATGGATCAGTAAATTCTTGACTTTAAACAGGAATAATATGTAACGATTAAATAATTCGGGGTATTCCAGGTTAATCAAACAAAAAATACTCTGAAATGGATGCCCGAGCTTCACAAAAATTATTAATTCCTTAAGAGGTACACCAACAAAAAAGCAAGCAATTGCAATGCAAACTGCCAAGGATAAACACAATTAAAGTAAGACTTCAAACAAAAGCACATTAGTTCAGTCCAATGACCTTACTCAAGCTGAAAGCTATGCAAACAAGAGAATTATCTTACCAGTCTTGAGCCATCCTCAAACAAGCATCGAATACCCTGGTGTTTTGAAATAGAACCATCAATAGGATCTTTGTATTCAAACTCGTCAGCATGAACAACCTTTGACACATCTGATCGTATCCCACTGACAATCCTGTATAGATAAACAGCACAGCCTCCTCAATTATTTGATTAAAACAAAAAATATGGATGATAAATAAATTTAATCATTATTCCTTTTGGTTTGTATCATTGTTTAAAAATTACGCTATTTTGCAAAAACTTCAGAACATTAATTAAATGACATTAGGCTCTTTTTTCCTTCTCCTGAAATCATTATAGATTGATAAAAAGATAAATTATTCAGGAAAAACTGACTAAATCAATTTTAGTGATCAAGTGGGCAGCAAAAGAGTGATTCGAATTGAGCACTAATGCTAAAAAAATTCATCAAATCTAAGTCAAAGGCAGTCTACTCCAGCTCTTATGTCAGAGATGTCAATTTTAGCTCCACTTTTGTTGCAAGGTTTCTAGTCCATGTCACCCACAGCATAGTGATAACCACGTAAGACATTTATATTTTCTTCAGGTTGAGACAGATATAAACTCCAGATAACTGGCACAGTGGCACTGGTAACCCTCCATTGGTTCTTCTCTGCAGGGGCAGCACTCGTGTGCTTTGAGGTGGCCATAATCCCCATCCCCCACCAAACAGAAAAACTGGGTTAAGCTCCAACTCCAACCCTGCATCTCTCCAAGTTTCCCCAGCCTTCATCATCTTATCATGGCCACGTTAACCCCATGATTTGTGCATTTCTGCTCTCTCTTCTACTGCTTTTAGCCATTTAATGCACTGACTCCAAATTTATTTAGAACTTTTACTCTCTTTTTTCCCACAAAAAAGCGTAAAATAATCGTGTTTGTATAAATAATTAACACAAATCATGCTTTCTTCAAAGAAAAGTTTATTAGAAAACATGCAAGGTGGCAAATCTAAGAACAAAACTAGTCACCAAGAGGCACACAATATACATCCAATGTGTCGGCCAGTGTGCATACATACACATGCATACTTGGCATGCTGACTCTGATCTACAATCTTCATCAATGTTATCTAATCATTCTAACATTTAAGTCCACAATTTATCTATAGGGCAGCCATAGCCAAATTGTTGACCCTTGAAATTACACTATAAGATGTCTAGGAAAATTATACCAGGACCTGGCAACTAGGACTGTAGGCAAAACCAAATCACAAAAGTGAAAGCCTTCAATATGTTCAAGCCTAGGCTTTACACAGCCAACAGCAACTCAATATAATATTTAAAAGATATTATTCCATGCCTTGAAGCCAAAAAAAACACCAGGTTAGAATTTTAGCACTTAAAATACAAGTTGGAAAGTGCTTTAGTTGGTACCTTAAAATAACTTAGGGCAAAATAAAAGGCACTCAATAGGGTAGTTGCATCCAATTCCTTAAAAGGATCAATGGAAATGCTAGTTTAATAAAGTAAGCGATTTAAATATAAACAGACATACTCATTAACTTCAGCAAGGGAAGACTGCAGCTTGACCAAGTATGCCATTAGTTCCTTTGCTGCACCTGCATCAACATTCTTCAACAACAATGTACCAATTACATGGCAGTCTGAGATCCGTTTCTAGAGATAGGATGAAACATCAAGAAAACATAGTACCTCATAGTCATATCGAGTATAGTAATGGCGACCATAGGTAGCCCAATGGTTGCGAACTATATCTTCAACTGTTACAAGTTCTCCACCACCAAGATTTTCTTTATTCTTGAACGCCAATATGGATAGCCAAGCCAGAACTGCCCAAATTCCATCCTTCTCACGTATGTGGTCTGAGCCTGTTCACAGATGCCATAACAACAAAACAGCCTCACACAACTTAATAAGAATTCCAACTATAAGATGATTTACTGAACATACAGAAACATCAAAGACTAACCAGTTCCAAAACTCTCTTCCCCACAGATTGAACATAAACCAGCATCCATCAAATTACCAAAAAATTTCCATCCAGTTGGAACCTGGCATTTGAACAGTGAATAACTGATGGGGACACCGGAACCAAAATATTATTTATGCACGCGAATGATCATAGACGATGGAGGATAGCCCAAACAATTGAGAGATTGGGCTTTAACTTATGTTTTGGGTTTAGTTTATATGAACTTTTAGTTGAGTTTTATTAATTTGGCTTTATTTGTTGGGTTTGATTTAATTATTGTTGGGTTTTTTTATTTAGTGGGTCATAAGCCCAATCACTTATTCTAGTTAGGGTTTTAGTATAAATACCCTACTTTTCTAAATGTTAGGGGACTTTTTGATGATTAATAAAAAATTGCAGATTTTGCATATCTTCAATCCCCTTTCTTCTTCTTCTTTGCTTTCTCTCCTCAACTTCTTCTCTAAAAGCTTTTTTCTTTTCCCGGCTTTAATTCTTCTGTTTGTTGTTCCGCGTCAATAACCAAATTATATGACCATACAGTACATAGGAGGACCCATTTAAAAAATTATTCATGGCATGGCATACCTCAAAAAACTTTAAGTTCAGATTTTTTGCCACAATGTCAAGGCCAGAAGAAGTTGGCATGCTCCTATAAACAGCAAATACAGAAACATTATACAAAACTTTCTGAAGAAAAGGCATCAAATAACAAAAATATGTATCACCCAGCTGTCGAAATGTGGCCTATGGTCTCAAGATATTATCAAGAAGTTTACTGAATCATTAAGTTTTTAATGATATAGAATGCAGGAAGCAAACATGAGATATAATTGAAGCACTTTAAGCCAGTTGACATATACCCAAAACAAGAAAAATGTTACACGGCACATGACATGTGCACATACAAGCTTGAAATAAAAAAAAAAAAAGTATACATATAATTTAGTGTTCCTTCTCATAACTAATTACCTTGAATGATTCTCAATAATGCATCTTAAAAGGAAGCTTTTTTCAATGAAACAACAGCCTTAATCATCTATACAGCTAATACAATAGGCTACTAATACAACCCTTATTCTAATATGTTACCTATCATCCTTTTCTTTTTACTCTTCATCCTTTTCTTCTTTTGGACTCCATCTTGTTCTTTGACAACTTTTGCAATGGTAGTTACATGGAATAAACAAGCTTTGAATTCTCAAAAATTAATATATCAATGTTAATTACTAGCTATGGTTTTGCATGTAGAATTGCAAGAAGCTTTTCCACTCTAAAGATGTAATAATCTAGTTTAACTGAGAATATTATGTCAAGCATGCCACTTTTTGCCTTGCATATAGAGTATTAGTTGTTAAGGGCCATGTTGTCCACTGCATCCATTTAGATTTACTAGTCTAACAGTGAGCAAGTAAATACCGTACATGCACACAAAATAAAGAAGGTAAGCAGAGAAATGTATAGAACCTAGCAACTCCTTTTAGACCTGCAGAGAAATATGGTATGGCATCCACTGCATTTGCAGCAATGATGGAAACAGAATCTGATGGAGTAACAAAGAACCTGCCAAAGTATCAAGAGTTGTAAATGAAAGATTTGGTGTGAAAGTAACTTTTCTAACAAAAAAAAGATGAAGAAGGCTGCTGGTACCTTTTCCCAAGGATCATATTGCGATCTGCATCACCATCAGCAGCAGCACCAAATTCTGGCGGTTCAACTTCAGAATTAGATTTACCCAATCCCATGCGAGCAACCAACTCCTTTGCATATGTGAGATTGGGATCTGGATGCCCTCCTCCAAAGTCCTCCTGTTTGCATTGGCCAAGCACAAGCATGAAAATTCAAATAAATAATAAGCACTCACGGTGAGAAAGAGATTTTATTAATCATTTATCCCATATAGTATCACAAACTTAGCAGCACCTTGGGTACACAGTTCATTAAGGAACTCTCTTGTGCTCCAAGCTCCTCCACAAAAATGCGTTTTGCATAAGCCCCAGCAACTCCATGTAGCGCATCATAGCTATAACATGATGACCCAAGGAAAGTCTTCATCGAGTTGACAATGCATATATGAGAAACAGAAACTTACAAATGATGCAAATGAGACCATCTAGATACCAGAAAGTGAATTTTGGAGAGGAAAGGAGCTTCTGGATGGACTCAAAGTCAAAAATCGACCTGGGTAATTGTTAAAAGAAGCGTTAAGTATTTTGAAAGAGAAGATAACATGATCAATTACAGCATGAAATTTTGAATAATAAAGATCACATGATCATCAAACAGCCTATCATTCATATAAATAGAATGGAAAAAAAAACTTGGCAGTGTCCATCCTGCAGAGCAAGACAACATCATACCATAAGATTCTACAGCGTATACAGGAACTGATTGCCTTGTAATTATTGGTGACATGTATTATGCCAAAACCCATAGACCTTTGAGAAGAATATTTCACAATGTGCATGACTCCTTGTTTCTATCAAAACATAAATTTCTGTAATCGTACAAATTTCAATCAAATTAACAAAAACAGGTCATTATGGTTTCCCTTTTTTCCCTTTTATTTTGTTTTTAAGTGCATAGATACAACAATTAATCCTTCACTCATACTTAGTTTTTTCAGTAAATACCATCAAGCAAAATTAATACAACACTACCATGAAAAAATTAACAACTACTTATCATGCAAAGCATTCCAGAGAAGACATGGTGCAAATTCTTGAAGCTTGACTTCAAAGAAGAAAGGGGCTGAGGCAATTTTGACAATGATATAAAAATCACACTTTGAAGATTAAAAAAATTCATATCATTTCACTTTTTCTGCATACTTTAAATGAGCCAAGAAATTCCTAATGGGCATGCAAGGAGTATCTCATATTTTAGTGTATTGTTCTGCATCATATATCAATGCCAACAATCATCATGTTTGGATAATTCAGTAAGCTAAATAGCAGTGCATAACTCAGAAGTAAAGGAAGAGGAAGACATTGAAAAGCTCATAAAGTTTGCTCACAGGTATGCAAACAGAAATATATATATATATATATATATATATATTATCTGCATGTGATTGTATATAGATAAATAAATAGCATCATCAATCATATTCAGTGAGGAAAACTCATAAAAACACAACTACAGAAAACTAGCACTTTAGACAGGAAAGAGCTTACTTCATCAATTTGACATAATCGCTTGCAGAGTCAAAAACCTCAACATCAAACTGCCCATCAGGCCCACCAAAGCTGGTTACACCAATTGCTGTAATATCCACCTGGATGTAATTGAAAAATCATGGCATACAAACAGAGTTAACGAAACCCTGGTAGCAGTTTGACAGAAACACTACGAGTCTACAAGGCAAATGACACATAAGGTGGCCAGGTGAAGGGTATACATCAGGCAGATCTGCAGTTAAGTACTCATTTATTGTTTTAGTGCTCTCATAAATCTTATCTGTTATTCCCTCAGGAGCAGGTCCGCCATTTTCCATGTTATATTTGATCCCAAAATCCTGCAATAAAGGGACAAAAAAGAAGAATGATTTCGATAACATGCCAGGGGATTCCTTATTTCCACAAAACAAAATAACTCCCAGCCATTTGTTATGAGATAAGAGTAGATTCTCTTGCATCCTTGTGCTGCCATGCTCCAAATGATTTTAACATGCATCATTAGCTGATATTTGGCAAGATTATTCTGCTTTAGTTTTTAATTTGTTTGTGTCAAGCTGCCGTAGATTGGAAGCTGACCCTCCATTTTGCAATTGTACTTCCACTTCTTTCAGCATTAATACATTCTCTTTTGTCAAAAGGAAAAAAAATAATAACAAATCTGAACATTTTATTAGTTACGGCAGGATGCTAAATAATCATTGATACATATCAGCATTCTTTTTCTGTTCTCCACCTTGAGGAGGCATCATATCCCATTTCCTTTCATCCAAAACATAGGAAAGATAGAGGAGCTCTAATTTCCACTGTGAACCACAATCCCAGACCAAAAAGAAAACAGTTTCTACTTACCTCATTTGGACCACCTGGGTTGTGACTTGCTGTCAATATAAATGCTCCTGTTGCTCTGGATCCCTGATATTCAAGTTCAGGAGTAAAAAACTCATTATGCATAAGACTATACCATCATTATTGTTGAGGGAAATGAGCCTAGCTTATAGAGACAAGTTGAGAACTTACATCTACCCCAACTCTTTCACGTATTACAGCAGACACAGCAGGAGTTGAAAGCAGTCCGTTCTGACCAACCCAGACACGCCGTACTCCATTTCCAGCTGCCATCTTAATAATTATCTGCCAATCAAATGATATAAATTTGGATCAGATATGGCTTTTCCATTGAGGTTTTGATTGCATGGAACATGCAAACTATTAAAAGTCACAAACAATAAAAAACGATGACTGCATAGACTTGGAAGCAGCTCAATATTGAACAGTCTGCTGTGGGCAGGAAAGCATAGCCATGCTCAAGACCAGA